CTAAACTTTCCCTGTCTTCTAGACTATAAACACATGTCATCTTTGGAGTGGGATCAGCTGTACCAGAATGTGTCCCAGCCCAGCTGATCGACTTCATTGGTATCTACAGACATTGCTAGTTCGGTGGTCCTGCAAGGTCCTTCTGGGGTTTCAGTAGTCTGATCCTGTGGGACCAATGGCCCTGGGTCACGCCCTGTCTTGGGACATGCAGATAGGATACACTGCAGCAGATCTCGGTAGTGTGCTTTTGTAGGCGGGGAAACCACCATGCAGGTTCCTCGGCTTGCAGATATATGTCCCAAATTGGGGCACGTCAGCCTGATACATATGCTGCAGGGATCTCTTTGTTCAATAATAAGCTAATAGACATTCTCCCATTTAAGGTGTCGCTAACTGTGACTATGTTTTGGTCGTGGCTGTCAAGGTTCTTTGGGTAGATGTGATTATCTTTTATTAGACCAACTGAATAGTTGGAAAAAAGTTCTTTGCAAGCTTTTGGGCGCAATCACTTTTCAGGCATAGGGAATCTCTGCTGTTCTGAGACTCCAAGGAATGAAAGAAGCTAAAAGTATGTCAGGATGTCAGTGAGACAGTAAATAGGTGGAATTTAGGAAAACAAAAAACAGAGAAGGTAAGGGCTTGTGGGGCAATGAGCAGGGTGGAAAGCCAAAGGTAAGTAAGGGAGACTACTGTAGCAGCATTTGTCGGCACTTGGAGTATGACAAGGGGCTAAGACAACTGCTTACTTGCAACTTGTGCTGTCATAGGAATGTCTTTGGCACCATGAGGGTGACATGTTTGCACCCCTAGAAAGACAGATTATTGAGACTAGCCTCAGAACCCTACTCTTTAAAATGCATCTTATTCATATGTTCCATACAGAAATAGTGTTCCAATTCTTTCAAGATATCTGAGGTCATCTGACACTTTATTCACTGTTTTAACTAAATTTGCAGGTGGTTAACTATGGACAGGTCATTCTTTCCAAAATCTACTAAAAGTCAATTCAGAGAACTTCAAAGCAGTATTCTTGGAAGCCTTTGGAACCTTACAGGCACAGAGTGGAAAGAACCTTCAAGGGTCACCTAGTTCAACCTGCAGAGATGTGGGATTAACTGTTCCTAAATCACTGTAGGTGGCTTGTCAAGGAATGGCTTCAGTAACTCCAGTGCAGGAGAGCTCTGTAGCTCCCTGACAGATTATTCTTTTGTCTCCTGTTAAAGTTTGGAAGTTTTTACTAGGAGATTCTATTGGCTTGCTTTTCTGTAGTTTAAATACATTTGTCTTTCTGACCTGCTCCATGGTGAAGAAGAATACTGTATTGACTTGAGTATAAGATAAAGTTGCCCATCACCCCCCGCCAATCAACATGGGGGGAGTGGGGAAGCCCTCATCTTACATTCACATACAAGAAAATCTCATTAGTGACATTATCTATCATTAAACTTTTGCACCAGCTCAGTAATGGAAACCAGTTGTGAAGCTGATTAATTGCAGCCAACACTGAGGATGACTATAAAACACATAGCCCGTATGGGGCAAACACTCTATAAAATGTCATGTCTCAAGCCAAATTAGCCAAATCAGTCCTGAACTCCATCAGCTGAGCAGAGCTCAGTTTGTTCAGGTTTTTGTGGTGCTATCACTGGCAAGTATCCTATTTCCCAGACTTACCAGTCCTGGGTGTCAGAAATTTCCAAATTCATGACATCCATGATGAGGGAGTTGACTAATATGATTGCAGAGCTCCTGGCCTTCATATTTGAAAACTCATGGCAATTGGGAGAGGTCCTGGACTATTGGAAAAGGGTAAATATAGTGCCCATCTTTAAGAAAGGGAAGAAGGAGAATCTGAGGAACTACAGACCAGTCAGCCTCACCTCAGTCCCTCAGCAGATCCTCAATGAATCTGTTTCTAAGCACTTGGAGGAGAAGGTGATTAGGAATAGTTAGCATGGATTCACGAAGGGCAAGTCATGCCTGACCAACCTGATTGCCGTCTATGATGAGATGACTGGTCAGGCCGCAGTTGGAGTACCGCGTCCAGTTCTGGGCGCCGCACTTCAAGAGGGATGTGGACAGCATGGAGAGGGTCCAGAGGAGGGCCACTCGCATGATCAGGGAACAGCAGGGCAGGCCCTATGAGGAGAGACTAGGAGACCTGAACCTGTTCAGCCTCCACAAGAGAAGGCTGAGGGGGGATCTTGTGGCCTGTTACAAATTGGTCAGGGGGGGATCAGAAGGCAGTGGGGGAGTCACTGTTCCCCCGAGCACAGCCAGGAGTGACCAGGAACAACGGTCACAAGCTAGCAGAGGGTAGATTTAGGTTAGACATCAGAAGGC